TATACATCTCAAACATGTCCCATCTCAATCTCTTTTGCAGGAAGGAAAACAACACCAGTCTGCCCAATCTGTCTTCATAACTGAAACTCTCCAGCTCTGGCAACATTCTGGTAAATCTCCTTTGCACCCTCTCCAGCGCAATTGAGGCTAACAAATTCATGAGGACTTCAATTCAATTACAAGAATGAGGAGAAACTGTCAGAAGAGCTTCAGTCACCAGAGAGCACACAGATCGATGAAGATCGAACGTGAAGCTGTGAGGAGGAGAATTGTTTGAAGGTGTGATGAGTTGTTATCTGGGACACGCTGCCTGAAAGTGCACTGGAAGCAGATTCCAAAATTGGACTTATACCTGATAAGGAAAAGCTGTGGGGAGACTTCACGGGGTGAATTAGTTTTGAGTGTCGGCATGTCACAGTCGGCTGAGTAGCTACATCCTGTGCCCTTTGAGTGTAAGAGAAAGGCCAACGCAGAGTGAGGGAGGGAGGCTGCAGCTGGTTAACAAGTGCTGAAACCATAAAATCTCCATCGGCCTTGCTTTAAATCCCTGTGTGTAATTGAGGTGAGGGGTTTGAAAATGTCTTTTGCAGGGTGGGTTCGGCTTTAAGAGGATGACGTAAGTCTGATGCAGGCTCCCTGTCTCAGGGCTGATGCTGTCCCTGTCTCAGGGCTGAAACTGGCTGCATTTCTTTGCCTCAATTCCTCCAGCAATTTGCAGGAAGCAAAAGGAGAGAAGGGGGAGAAGAATTTGGAGGAGAGAGAGGGGCGGGAGAGGCCCATTAGATTCAATCCTGGGACTGTACCATCGATTTTAGCTTTTGCTCCTTTCCAACTCCCTCCCCGAAACTACATTCCCACCTCCCCACCCCCCTCCCGGCCCGTCACATATAGCACCACCCCCTCTACCCTCCCAGGCTCCATCCCTGGGACCAGCCCCTCTGCAATAATCCAATGCAAAAATATCTCTCCAGTTTTATCAAGTCACCAGAGGGAACAACAGCAGCGAAAGAGAGAAATGCAGCTGTCCAGCATCAGCCCTCCATCAGGGTTAAAGATTGAAGTCTCCTGTTGGGATTGAATCTCCGTCTCTCTCTCCCCGACACCCCCGGATTGGTATCTGGGGGCTTCTCCAAGGGGAGGTGAATTCGGCTTCTTTCTTGGCACTGAGACAGATTGAGTCCTTTTTTCCCTCTTACTCCTCCCGCCTCGCCTTCCCGTGCTGCCGGAGCAGCTGCGAAGCTCCCCGGGTCGAGCGGAGCCTGTGGTCGCTGGTGGATCCGCAGCAAATTCCAGGTGAGCGCCTTCTGTAAATCCGCATCTCCACCGGGCACTGGGGGCTCTTTCCCTCCTTCTCCATCACCCTCTGTCTTTCTTTCTCTCTGTCTCTCTCCATCTCCTTCTTTCTCTGTATGTGTCGCACCAGGGGCTTTGTAGGGGGAGGAGGGGTTTGAGCTGGTTTGGGGCAGTCGAGTGTTCCATTTTTCGATGTGCGCCTTATTTTCGCTCCCCCTCCATCTCCCGCCGTCTCC